TGCAGCCGTCAAGGCTGCGCAGGTTACCTCTTCCTCCTCCTCCTCCTCCTCCTCCTCCTCCTCCTTCTCCTCCTCCTCCTTCTCCTCCTCCTCCTCCTCCTCCTCCTCCTCCTTCTCCTCCTCCTCCTCCTCCTCCTCCTCTCGTTGATCCGCATGCAGCCTCTCGCCCTCCAGCAATGTCTGCCGGCTCGTCGGGCAGGGGAGAGGTGCAGGCCTCCCAAAGTTTTCCCTGGGGAAGCGGCCACGACGGGCTGAGATACTGGTGATGTCAGACTGGAATGAAGCGAGGGACGAGAGGACGGGCAAGATGTACTACTGGAACAAAGTCAGCGGGAAGACGACTTGGGACAGGCCGGCCGACCTGGACTCGTCGCGCACTGCTCAGGTAGCACTCACTCGAACCCCTGGGTCGTTGAACCTGCCGGCAGAGTGTGGCGGAACCAGAGGGGTTCGAGAAGTTCTTTGCGAACCTCTTCGGCAAGATCGGAGCCTCTCCCGAGCAGGCGAGCCGTCGACGAGTCGGGATTAGGAGGGGCTGACAAGCAGCAGGTCGGCCTCAAACGTTTCGACCAGTCCAAGTTCCCCGAGGTTTCAATCGCCCGCTTCCTCTGCTCTGCCGTGACATTGCCCCTCTCTTCTCACACGTTCCCTTCGTTTCCCAGCTGTACCCCGCGACCCTGACTGAGTTTGCGGCTCCTGTTGCCGCCGACGACGCCGACATGCAGCAGTTTCGTCCCCTGCTGGCAAGAACCTCGTTGGAGAAGAGGGACCTCAAGCTCGTATGCTCCCCGCCTCGTCTCCAGCTGCTGCTGAGCTGTGTTCCCTAGGTGTTCGATGCGAACCGAGACGGTTGGACCCCAAGTGCCTTCCACCTCGCAGTTGACAAGCTCGGGCCGGGCGTCGTCCTGGCGCGGACAGAGCAGGGCGCAGTGGTTGGAGGATACAACCCGAAGGTCTGACGCTCTGAGCCAGTGCGAAGCATGTAGTCACTGAGCATGGGAGGCAGGGCTGGGTCGGGTACGGCGAGTACAGGGGCTCGATCGCAGCGTTTCTCTTCTGCTGGTGACCCCATGCCCCCTCGTGCCACCCTTGACCATACTGAACTTGACCCATCAGGCCGGACGGGGACACGTCCAGGCCCGCCATCAAGCTGAGAAAGGTGTGGAAGTGACCATCTGCTGGGCTGGAGCTGAGCCTCCTTGTCTGCAGGTGGGAGGAGCCGGCTTGGCGTGCATCGACGATCCTGAGAGCGGTCTCTGTCGTCCTGTCCTCCTCCCTCCCCTCACCCCGTGACTGGAGCAGGCCCTCGCTTCGGCGCTGATGGCTTCCACGTTCCGCTCGAGGCCCCCCGGTGCAGCTGGGGAGGAGGGAAGTTCAATGCTGACGTCAGCAGGTCGGAGGGAGAGGCGGGTCGGGAACGTTTAGCTCGGTGCAAGCTGGGACCTTACTACGAGAAACGACCGGTACTGCTCTGTCCTCTGTGCTGGTTCAGTGAAACCTATCCTCCCTCCCTCCCTCCCTCCCTCCCTCCCTCCCTCTTCTCGTTACTAGGATGGCTCCAACACCATCTTTACCAAGGCCGAGAAGGCAACAGCGACTCTCACTGACCTCAAGGTCCGTATCCTGCCAGTGCCACAACCCCCAGCACGAGCTCAGCTGCTGCTCCTCAGGTCTACGTCGGCATCTACGATGCAGACGAGGAGATCCCGTACAACGACGCGCTTCCTTTCCAGCTGGAGTGAATGAAACCGAACCGTTATAGCCAGTACTAGCCTAGTACGGGCCGTCACTGTGGCCAGGCTGAGTCCGACGCTGTCTGGCACCCGGGGCCCCGGCCCCTGGACCTCACTCTCGAGTCACGTTGTCGAATCCCGGCCCGGTGCGGCACTCGGAGTCGATCCCGGCCTGTCGGTCCGAGGCCGTACTATTATGTTGCGGTTGTAACCGCGATCACAGTGGCCGTTGCAGCGAGAAATCCGAAAAACGGCCATCTGAGATGCGACCGCATTCCCTGGGTGAAGGGGTGGTGGGGGTTCTTGACACACCGGTAAAAATACACATATTTGTAGGGATATGTACGGGTGGACTAGTCGAAAGATGGGGTGGTAAGGGACATAATTCTTGAGGCGGGCGTGCGGCCCCCTGAATGGCACGGGACGGAAGAGGAAGCTTGGCTGAGGAGGGTTGGCGGGGGGGGGGGGAGGAGGGGAGAGGGAGGGCGGGAGAGAAGAAGAGCATCATGGCATGTGGAGCATGGCGATAACCTGGTGGATGTGCAACAGGGCAGGAGAGCGCTGAGGCTCTAGCAAGGGAGATTTGAAGGAAGCCCGCACGTGAAGTGAACGAGAGAAAGCAGAGGAGCAGGGAGCAGGGAGCAGGGAGCAGGGAGCAGGGAGCAGGGAGCAGGGAGCAGGGAGCAGGGACTGAGAGCAAAGAAGAGAAAAAGCATGTCTATTGCATGGGGTGTCGAACTCATAGTTTGGCTGCTGAGGGAGCAAGCACAGGTAGTTCCAAGTCGAACGGATCACGTGAGACAGTCAGAGGATAAGGCGGCCAGCGGTGAAGAGAGTTGTCCTCCTAATGGAACGTTCTACAGGTTAAGATGCCCAACCAGGGAGGGTTGACGTCTCGTGGCCAGTCGTACTAGTGGAGGACGAGGATGGTGAGAGAGGGCAGCTGCCTGTTGAAACGATTCGAGCACGTTAGCAAGTGGTTCCTCCTGCCCCTCCTCCTGCTGATGCTAGCAGAAGGATGCTCTGCTTTCCAAGGCTTCATGCACACATTCGCACTAGGAAGCACGAGGAAAAGCCTTCAAGGGCAGCCGTATGGGCTAGCTTGGAGGATGAACCGGATGTCGCTTCGGCGGCAGCTCGCAGTGACCGGCATGTCGATGTCAGGAGACTCCAGGTCGATCAAAGTGCAGCAGATGTATGCTCGTTTCAAGGCTCTCAAAGTTGCGGAGCTTCGCGAGCTGATATCGCAGTATGGGGAGAACGCGGGGAAGATGAAGAAGGGAGAGATGGTACACAGGTTGATCGAGCTGAGGGAGGAGAGGGGTTTGCCGTTTGAGAAGCCAGAGTTCTGGTCAAAGCCGAGCATACAACCTGAGCCCTTTCAAATCCCCCAACGACAACCTGCGCAGCAAACAGCAACGAGCCCAGAGGTCTTGAAAAATCCGGAGCAAGATGTTGGGCAGGGGAGGATGGTGGACGAGAGCAGGATAGAGAGGCAGAGGGAGGTGGAAGTTGTCAAGCGCGCCGCTCCTGCCACGAGGAGAGAATCGACTGTAAGCACCTTGCACTGTCTTCAAGATGCTCCTGAACGCTGTCACAGGGATCGAGCTCCATTGAGGATGGCCGGGTGCGGTCAGAGGCCTCTTCTGAGAAGCCTCGTGCTCAGGACGAGGCAGCAGGAGGGGCAGGGAAGAGGAGACGTCTTCCTCCTAGCGCTGCAGAGTTGGAGGAGCGGGAGCTGGACGATCTGTACACAGAGAGCGAAGGCCAGTCGAGCCTCTACGTCGATGCCAAGGTACCTTTCAAGGAGTTCAACCTGGAGGACCAGAACCGTCCTGCCGAGACGCGGGACACTGGAGCAGACATGGAGCTGACCTTCCTGGGGACAGCCTCCTGCCTCCCCTCGCTCACCCGAGGAGTCTCCTCCATCGTACTCAGGATGAGCAACAGGAAGACGTCGGCGGGGTCCTCCAGCTGGGTGTTCGATGCCGGGGAGGGGACACAGATCCAAGTGCAGAAGAGCTGGGTCCGTCCGTCGTCCATCGACAAGATCTTCGTCACGCATCTCCATGGCGACCACTCCTTCGGCATCGTTGGACTCATGTGCCTCATCGGGCAGAACCGCGACAGGGACGACCCTCTCACCCTCTACGGGCCCGCGGGGCTCCGCGCCCTCATCAGGTCCACCCTCCAGCTCACCTGCTCCCGCGCTGTCCCCTTCTACAGGGTGGTCGAGCTCCACGACGTCCCCTTCCTCCATGGACGGTACATGAGAGAGCCGGCCAGCGCTTGCGACGGGCTGGAGCCTCCGTTCGACAGGAGATACAAGGAGGTGGACGAAGGGGACGATATCTTCCCAACAGCTCAGGGCCACTGGAACGTTTGCAAGGAGGAGGACGGGATGATTGTGCAGGCGGCGGCGATGCAGCATACGATGCCGTGTGTGGGGTACATGGTCCAAGAGCCGAGGGCGGAGCCCCGCCTGCTCGTGGACAAGGTCGAGGAGATGGTGGAGAAGAACAAGGAGGGGCTGAAGAAGAAGTATGGCAAGAACTATAAGGCCGTGTACAGGGACATGAAGAAGCTCGGGATGGATGACAGGTTCGAAATGCCCAACGGTGACGTCATCTTCGGTCACGACGTCCTCCTCCCCTCAAAGCCGGGACGCAAGGTGGGGTAGATTGAAGGAGGAGGAAACTGCTGACGAGCCTCTCAGGTCGTCATCCTGGGCGACACGTGCGATGCCTCTGCGATGCTCCGACTAGCTGAGGTCCTCCCTCCTCCCTCCTCCCTCCTCCCTCCTCCCTCCTCCCTCCTCCCTCCTCCCTCCTCCCTCCTCCCTCCTCCCTCCACGTATGCACGCCTCACCTGTCATTGCTTCCTTGCGCTCACGAAGTCTCATTCAAGGATGCGGATGTCTTGGTACACGAGGCAACCAACGCCTGGATCCCTGGAGTTGATGACAAGTCAATGGCAGAGGTCCAACCGACCAACCGACCCATCCCTCCTCCCCCCCCGTCTTGCCCTCCTGCCGTTCTGCCCCCTTGCCCTCACTGCTCCCTCCCTACCCTCCTGCCCCCTTCCTACCCTCCTGCCCCCTCCCTCCCTTCCTGCGCTCCCCACCTACCATCCTGTCTCCCTATCCTCCAGCTTCCTGCTCTCTTCTCTGCTGTCCCCCTGCCCCCTGCCTCCTCCTCATCTTGTTGCACCGCAGGTGGAACGCGACACCATGGCACATGGTCACTCGACGCCTCAGATGGCTGGAAGATTTGCTCGGGCCAGCAGAGCCAAGAGACTGATCCTGACGCACTTCAGCCCGCGGTATCGATTCGACAAGAGCGAGTATTGCGCGCGAACTATGAAGGTCCTCCTCCTCCTCCTTGTTTACTTCCCTTTCCTCGTCCTCCTCTACTTCCATCCTCCTTCAGCTCCTAGCCTACTTCCCTCCTCTTTCACTCCTCCTAGTCTACTGCTCTCTTCTCTTACTCGTCTCGTCGCAGAGGATCGAGGAGTACGCGATAAAGGAATCCATGCTGGAACAAGAACACGTCACAGCTGCCTTCGACCTCATGACGGTGACTGCTGCCCACAGCTCCCATCCTCCTCGTCTCCTCACCACCCTCATCTGATCGCATCGCATCTCAGGTTGCGCTGGAGAGGCCAGGGTACGAAGACAGCAAGTCTTGATCGTCAATGAGCTCGAGATCAGCTGCTATTCTTTTGATTGGTTTCCTGCAATAAGATTTTATTGATTTCAAGTCGGAGGAGGGGGTTACGGGTTATTAACAGTCGCTCGTTAGTGTTGCAAGTCAAATAAAGCAAGCGCAAATCAAGCTGCGGGTTGAACTTCTTCTTCAGAGGTCGAGTAGAGAATCTTCTGAATGTCGTCCACCAGTTCCTTCACTTCGCCCTTCTCGTTCGTCTGATCCGCGCGTCAGATTTCAAGCCTCCATCACCACTACCTCCTCCTACCTGGCAGGTGATCTCGATGTCACGCAGCTTGCCGAAGTAGAAGTCTCTCTCCTTCTCAAGCTCCGCCACTGTGAGCTTCAGCGACGTCAGCTCCTCGTTCAGCTGCTGGACCTGCTCCCCGTCGGCTGCTCGCGCGTGGTCATGACCAGCTTACATGCGACGGCCACGGACTTACCCGTCTTCTTGGGAGCAGCGGAAGCGGGGTTGGCTGACGTGGGCCGGCTCGAGCTGGGAGCATCGCGAACGACTCTCATGGGAGCACTCTTGACCTGCAGGAGGCGATCAGAGAGTGGAGAAGAGGCATGGCAGGAGGACGAGAAGTGTAGACGAGAGGAGGGCAGGGAGAGGAGGGAGAGAAGAAAGACCGTCTTGGTCGCGGGCTTGGAGGCGAGGGGGTTAGCGCCAGTGTTCTCCTTCATCGTGAGGCCTCCTCGTCTCTCGACGGGGTTGTACTCTTGTCCGCCGTAGTGCATGTCGAAGTATCGCTTGATCCACTGCAGGAACTCCAAGTTGTCCAGGGGCTTTGCCTTGATGAGCTTGTTGACCTCGATATGCTGCGCCGGCATCAGGCAACGAGCGCGAGCAAGGAGAAGAGAGGAGACCTTGGCGATGTTCTTCTTGTCGAAGACAGTCTGGAGGACTTTGTAGTTCTTCACAAAGTCGTGCTCGAGCTTCGCGTCGAAGATCACCTTCTTCAGTGGGACCTCACCCTGCACTCCATTAGCGGGAGCAAGGCGCGCAAGATGGTAGCTCACAGGGTAGATCGCATCCATGATCTGGCAGTAAGCTGCACCATTGGCGCACTGCTCGACCTTGGAGTAGTTCAAGCCAAGGAGCTCGTTCAACCAGTTCAAGAGCTCGTTCTTTCCCACAAAGAAAGCGGCGTCCATCATGCCGATACTCGCCATCTACGAGGAAAAGAGACTTGGTCAGAACTTTTCTTTCTGCTACACTACGTGCAATCATTCAGCTGCCAAGATGAGAATACACAGGATTAATAGAGGAAATTCCTTTGAGTTGCATGGGCCAACTTTGTCAATATTTCTCTACTGCTCTTGCACCTTCTTGATGAACTTTCAACCACACAACAGCTACAACCTCTGTCGACCGCAAGAATATCTGCACTCTGGCTGTAGCTGCTACAATTTCTTCATTCTCTCTTCAGAGCTGTGTGGATTTATTTGAATCATGTACGTTCTGATCATAGTAAGGAGGGATTCCCATCTACCTTTTTCCTCTCCATTCTTCGTCTTGGATATTTATTCACCTAATTTCTCCACTCGCATTTCTACCCCTCGGCTCCTCTCCGCAATTCTCGCCACTTGTCCTGTCCTGTCCACTCCTGTCCTGTCCTGTCCTGTAGTGTCCTGTCCTGTCCTGTCCTGTCCTGTCCTAACCTGTCCTGTAGTGTCCTGTCCTGTCCTGTCCTGTCCTGTCCTGTCCTCTCGTTTTCACGTCACTTCCCGCTCAACGGCATCGCGCTTTTTCAAATTTCAATCGTGCCACCCCACCCCAACAACCCTATCCCACCTTTCCAACACACCCACCACCACCCCTCCCCCACCCATGATATCCCATCTCACCACCCCATATTTCACCCACCACCACCGGACAATGATGCGTTTAGACCACCCCACCCTTAGAATGCAATATAAACCGTAGGAGCACTACACGGGTATTGGTGGGTGTATAGCTCAGTGGTAGAGCAATCGACTGCAGATCGATAGGTCCCCAGTTCGAACCTGGGTGCGCCCTGGTGAACTATTCTCTTTTTACACCTACATATGGAAAATTGCCCGATTCCCGTTGGAAGACTCGAATGGCCGGCGGGCCCTCACTGATCGTTTTTAGTTTCTTTTGCGATGAAGTTCCAACTCATGGAGTTGTCATTTTGCTTTTCCTTCTTTGGGCTGCCAGACGCCGTATGTTCAAGTTCCCGTGAGCCTGGGGGTTCAACGGTTGTCACAGTCTGCTTTCTAGGCGGATCATGTGAGGTCCAAAAAGATATTTTCAAGACTGTATTGTGTTTTGGTTGTTCTACAGCCAAGTAGGGGCAGTGCAACTTGCGGCAGATTCTAATATCAGTCACTCCGGGTGTGCCGACCACCATTTCACTCAAAGTCCCGTGGCACCCATGACTCCTCCTCCGAGACGTCTGGAGAACCGTCGTGAGAAGGAGCTTTCACCGAGTCCGGCAGCTCCGAGGGCCGCGCCAAGGCTGCGCCGCGTCTTGCATGCTGACTCGGGATCACATGACCGCAGCAGCTCAACGAGTTGCGTTGAGAGACTGCGGAGGCACCCACGTGTGCCATTCCTTCACGTCGCTTGCAAAGAAGCCACAGTGGGGGCACGAGTTGTTGATTCGACCAGAACCGCTGGCCTCTTTGTGATGCCTCTGAAGATCTGAGCAACCATGAACGATAACTGGCCCGGTCCCGCATTTAGGGCATTGCAGCACCATGCTGTACTCCCGCAGAATGAGCTGGATAGCAGCGAGGTCATTCGCATCCATGTTCTGCTGCAAGAGGAGCATTTCCTGTCGCTGCTTCTCCCGACGACCCTCCAGTATCTTCTGTTTGATGCTCCGATGCCGTCGGTAAGTCTGTGAAGTGAGCAGGAAGTACGCCAAGGTTTCACTGTAGGGCTGCCGGCACTCTGGCACGACGCATTTCATCCAGTGCTCGGGTATTTGTCGCTTGTGAAGCTGCTGCTCGGCCTCTCCTGCATTCGCCATCACGAACGCCTCTAGGCATTCGGCGCAGACATGGTGAGACTGACGGCACGGGACGCGCCGCCAGACAGGCTTGGAGTGGAAGCATATGCTGCAAGTGGTAGTCATAGTGCTGAGCTGACGTCGGAGGAAAAGGAAAAGGTATACAAGGGCGGGTAGCAGGAGGAGAAATAGGAAAAAGGGGCCTGTGTTACCCTTCATGATGCCATTGGGGGTCGAGGCGCCGCCTATGCAAAGTTGTGGCAGCAGGCAAGGCTCAGGCTTGGAGGCTCCTCGAACACAGAAGAAGCCCTTGGGGCATCTTACAGGGGCCTTGGCCTGCTTCTCGCAGTAGAACCCTGCTGGACAAGCCTGCTGCTTGCTTGTGTAGCCCTCGCAGAAGAAGCCCTCCTGGCAGGGCATTGGTTTCGTGTGTCCTCCATGAGGATCTGGGCAATGGAAGCCTGGGGGGCATCTGACCGGAGCCTTGGCCTGCTTCTCGCAGTAGTGACCCAGGGGGCACTTGGTCGGTGAATGAGCTCCTGCAGCACAGAAGAAGCCTTCGGGGCAAGGCGCGGGCCTCGCATTTCCTCCTTCACAGAAGTAACCAGCATCGCAGGCATCATGATTGAAGTTCTGGTAGGAGCAGTAGCGTCCGGGGCGAGCAAGGCAGGAGCTGTGAGGCGGCTGAGAGACTTGTTCTATCATCAGCAGCTCTGCCAGCATCACGTACCCGATGCCCAGCTGCAGGCCTGACGCTAGCCATGTACCGTGCTCCCCTTGCATGTTAGTCGTACAACTGGATTTGCTCACCCACCCGGGAACCCCTTGTCCTCAGACTCAGCTGGGAACAACACTCAGGACCGGATGTAGTTGCGATTAGCATAGTGGCCCACTTAACGAATCTCTTACCTACACATGGTACGCTTAGTTATCCATTCCCTGGCTGAGGGGTTAACTAAAAATAAGGCCTTTTACACCTTATGCTAACAGTAGTGACTATGGCGCGCCGGGGGACGTGGTCCTGCGCGCAGTTAAGTGAAGGTTTCAGTTAAGTTTGGGGGACAGCACGGTAGGCAGGACTCCGGGATGAGGGTTCAACGGTTCAACGGTTGGTTCTCGCTGTCCGGCACGGTCTGGCAAGTTCAATACTGTCATGATGGATTTTGAGTCGGACTCATCCCGCACTGACTCTGGCTTTCGAAGTCACAAGTTCGGGCGACTCGCCGAGTCAGACCCGGAGTAGCTTGAGTACAGTATTCACCCCGGCAGCCAAATGTGCATCCGGGCCTGACTCAGTGAGCCGCGGCCCGCCGCCCTGCGGAACTCCGAGCCGGCGGACTCGCCGCCGCCACCCGGCGGGATGGAGTGAGGCTCCGGGTCTGATCATCAGCCTAGCTCGGACGTCCTGGTCTGACCCGGCGTCCCTGAGTGCCATGATGGCCCGGCCGGCCAAAAGGACGAGGGCTCGACTCCCGACTCGAAAACGAGTGGAGAGGAGGAGATGGATGCCAGTAGATCGAACTCCGGACTGAGCCTCAGGTGGAGGAGAGGGAGCCAGGCCCGGATGAGATGGTACAAGGAGAGGAGAGGAGGAGATGATGCAGAGCGAGGGCTTCACTCTTCCTTCGGTAGCAAACAGAAAATATGAGGGAAGATGAGAAGCGCGAAAACCCGAGCTGGAAGCTAGCTGGACGTGCGCATGCAGTTGCCGTGCACGATGTCGACAATCTGGAGGATGACTGGGAGGAGGTGAGAAACTGCAAATGATGACGTGCTGATCAGCACTCACCGTCTGTCAGCTCCGTCAGTACCGACTGAACCTTGGCCGGCACGTTGCAGCGGCTCCTGGAGACCAGCATGTCAGCTGGGTGGTCAGCTGGGGAGGAGGTGGGAGGCAGCTGACCCCTTCCCGATGGCCATGATCCTTTCCATGAGGTGACTCCTATCCTTGGTTAGCTGCGCGTGGATCTGAAAGGAGCGTTCAGACCGCTGAGAGTGAGAAGAACGCGGTAGAGGATGAGAGAAGAGGGAGGGATGAAGAGAGGAGACATGGGGGAGAAGGAGGGAAAGGGTAAGGAGTGGAGGAAGGGGATGGGGAGGAAGGGAGGGACTGGACGGAGGGAGAGAAAGAAGGAGAGGAGAGCGAGGAAGGATGAGGGGGAGAGGAGGAGTTACCTCTTCCAGCTTGGTCTTTTGCTCGGGAGAGAGTTGAACCTCCTGCTGGTCCTCGTCATCCTCCTCCTCCCTCATGAAACAGCATCACAAGGGCTGAGGCGTCGACCATGGCGACATCGGCGTCGTCCTGGGTTGGCTCCTTGGGGGTGGATCTAGCTGCAACCTGCACGCCACAGGGTGAGGATGATGGTAGGGAGGGTGAAATGAAGTAAGCAGAGAAGGAGCAGCAGCAGCATCAGAGGACAAGATGAAGCGAAGGGAGGGAGGGGAGGGGAAGGGAGGGAGGAGAAGGCATGGGAAGAGGACTGCACAGATTCTGGGGAGATGCCATACCTCGCGGAGGAGGGTGAGAGCAGAGCTTATGTGTGCTTTGTATTGAGATGTGTCCATCGTGTTGAACATCTGAGAAACGGATCTGCCACCAGACATGAGGAGCAGGAGGAGGGGGAGGAGAAAGAGAAG